TTATAAGGTACTCCATAACCCACTAGTCAACCCCTGGTCAAAGTCAAAGTCCTCAGTCAAGGTCAACAGCCCATGTTGACCTTACTCGCTGAGTACCCTCGGCTACTCGCTGAGTTCCTTGAAGCACTATCCCACTCGCCGAGTCATCGAGGTGACTCGTCGAGTTTTCTCCGATTCTCGACCAAACTCTAAGGCCACCCGTCGAGTTTTCCTTTTTGCACACGACGGACACACACACACTCATAACTTGGGGAAAACTCATCCGACTCGCCGAGTTGTTCATCCAACTCGTCGAGTCTACAGCGATCTTCATCGGACTCGCCGAGTTGTTCATCCAACTCGTCGAGTTCGATGCCTATCTTCATATGACTCGCCGAGTCAACTATGCAACTCGTCGAGTCCCTTCAGTCCTTTAACCATGCAGACACTTTCTAAGCCATGTCAAGGCCCCAAATTGCATATCCAACCTCCTTAGGCATGCTTATCACGTAAAGTTGCAAACTTTACGTGCATGCAAGGCTTTAAGACCCTAAAATGGCACAACTAAGCTTGCAATGAAGTCACATCCTTGAGAGGAGGCTCATACTAGGCAAAGCTGATGGCTTTATGAATCTAGAAGCCAAGGGGAGTCCAGATCTGAAGTTACAACTTCAGATCTTGGCTTAAACACAAGAATCCTTTTCTAAACTTATGCACAAAAAGGGGTAAGAAGAGGATGAGCTAAAGGAACAGCTTAATACATTCCAGAGAGTGACAACTGATGATTCTCTTAGTTCCCCACAAGTTCCTAGCCTTGATTTCTTTGCTTCCCCAAGTGTTTCCTTCTCCAAAGTTCCTCCTCCAAGCTTGAACACACCAAAGAACACACACACACAATTAGGGTTCTTTTGGACTCTCAATGGACTGCAAAGAGGCCATAGGAGGCTTATCATTCCTTAAATAGGGTGCAAAACCCCGAGATTTAGGGTTTCATCTGCCAGCTCCTACTCGTCGAGTCCCTTAGTGGACTCGTCGAGTAGGTCACTAAACACGCGTTCCAAACCCGCTGCTACTCGACGAGTAGGACAACCAACTCGTCGAGTAGGGCATTAACCAATTAACCTTTTATTTAAATCCATACCTGGAATCGGGGCGTTACAGGGAATGTTTTGGTTATTTAAAAATAAAAAAATTTTATTGGAAATTTGGGCTGTTACAAATTGTTTGGTTATTTTTCATACATGCTAAGAAATTATTTTAACATTTGATCATATAAGCACTGCTTTTAATTTGGAAATTTAATACAAAAAACGCTAGTGGTAAATCTTTGTTTTCAAAAGCAAAAAGATAACGGAATCTTAGTCATAAAAAAAGGTAAATCTTTGATGATCCATACAAAGAATAAAATACTTAAAATTTTATTTTGATGAATACCTTTAATGTAAGATATTTCATTTCAATGTTATTCAAGACTGCAAGATTCTCAAAATGATGTGTAATCTACACACTGTGTGAGTGTATACCGCGTGTGTAAATATGATTTTCAAAATATATTATCAAGAATTATTGCATGTATTTTTAAAGAAAACAACAATGATTGACAACCATTAAATAAGATTTCAATCATGACAAGAAAACAAAAGATTGTCAAAAGTAGAAAATTCTTTGTCGGCCAATTATGCATATGACACCATTTCAAGATCAAATTATATGACAGGAAGACAAAAAGATAGCCAAAAGAAGAAATTTCTATGTCAGCCAATTATGACAGAAGAAAATTATTCAAGAAAAGATTGAAATTATTCAAGAAAGAAGACCCGGTAAACATCCGATTATCAATATCAAGATCATGATCTTTTATAAATTGAGCTGAAGTTATAGACATTCGAAAAAAAAAAATATTTCTCTCAAATGTATAGTTTATGTATAAGAAACCATCTACAGGTTTCTTTATCTAATTTGCGTTGTTCACAATCTCTAGATTTTCAAATCATCATTTCTCCAAATGCTTAAGTTTCTTTATCTACTTTGCGTTGTTCAAAATCTCTATATTTTCAAATCATCATTTCTCCAAATGCTTGTATTGACTATTCTTCTAGTTTAATAAAAAAAAAAATACTCTTTAAGTACTTTATTCAATTCGTTATGTTATTGTTTTCTTAAATTTATTTCTCCTTTAAATTTGTTTTGTTTATAACCTTGTTCCGCATTATGGACATAGCCTAGAGCCCTAGACAATAAGGTTATGCTATTGCATTTGTAGTTGTGTTTTATTTGATTAATTGTATAGATAATATAAACATCGTATGGGATTTGAAAACAAAAGTACTTTCAAGATAAAATGAATCAACCGATTTACAAGTTTAAAATTTAGTTGTAAATAGAACAAAAGATTAAAATGGGATATTCATCAAAAATTAACAAAGTAACAATCATCTTCAAATCGTAAGTCCCATCCCATCTTTTTAAAATGCTTCTCAAACTCTCAATCATCCTTAGAGGGTCATGTCCTAGCTGTTGTGGAAGTCGGTGTAGAAATATCAAAATCTTCAATGCACGACTCATGTCAATAATCACATTTGAAAATGCACGTCTTAATTCGCAAAAATGGTCCATGTGGTTTGCTGATTTCTTTGGCCATTACCTTTTTCATATGTGTCAGCTTCTCATATGAACTCAGAAGCTATGTTGCTCAAATTTCCTCACATCAAGAGAAGCACCTTGGTCCTCAAAATTTGTTGGAATCAATTTTGATTCAACAACTGATCTGAACAAAACAGCAGAGAAAAAGGTAAAACAGTTTACCAAACAGGCTTTCTTTTTCTGTTGTCTTTTGGGGCTGCCATTGCCAAGTATCTTGAATTGCTAATCTCCCGAGGTATCACAGCTCCAGATGCTTTCAGGATTCCAATCAACTCTGGAAACAGCTTCTTATTCTCCTCATTAACAAACACAATCGAATTACCCTCCACTCCCATTCTAGATGCCCTACCAATCTGATGAACATACTCCTTTATGGAATTCGGCATGTCAAACACAATCACTTGTCTCACATGCAAAAGATCAATCCCTCTCCCCAATATTCCAGTTGCCACAATAACCTCAACCTCCCCTAATAAAAAAGAATTCAAAATCTCTCTCCTTTCTTTCATGCTCTTCTCTCCATGAATAGCCAAAGCTTTTAACCCTGTGGTGACACTTATACCCTCAGAAAGAAGATCCGCCCCAAGCCTTGAACCCACAAACACTATCACAGGTGGCTTAAAGTGCTGTGAGCTGGCAAATATATCAAAAAGCTTTTGTTTCTTTCTTTTCGACTCAACCCATATAGCCACCTGTTTCACAGCCTGATTTGGCTTGTTTAGCTTTCCAACAGTGATCACATTCATCTCTTTTGCTAATGATCTTCCCATCTTCTCTACTTCAACTGGAACAGTTGCAGAATATAATAAAACTTGAGGTTGAGATAGAGCCCTGTAAATCTGCATCACCTGTTCACGGAAACCCCTTTGGAGCATGCAGTCAACTTCATCTATAACTAAAATTGATACACTGTCGAGTTCAATGTCATATTTGGTTAAAAGATCAATAAGCCTGCCAGGTGTCCCTACAATCATTTCTACTCCACCCTGTATACGATGGATCTGTTTAGGCATTGCGTCACCACCTACCACTAATGCTGTTTTAAAAGGCAAACCTTTTCCAAGTATCTTACCTTGTTCTTCAACTTGTATGGAAAGCTCCCTAGTTGGTGTCAACACCATCACTAATGGCTTTTTCTCTTCTTTTCTGAAATTTGCACAGAAAGAGATTGTGGGAATCAAATAAGAAGCGGTTTTTCCTGAACCAGTCTCGGCTGAAACAAGCAGGCTTTGACCCTTTAAGGCAGCAGGAATTGCTTGCATTTGAACAGGTGTTGGGATTTCATACCCTGCAGATTCAATGTTTTGCAGGAGCTTCTGAGGAAGATTACAGTGAGAAAAAGACAACACTGGAGGTGGAACACAAGTACCCTTTACAATAATCTCAAATTTAAGTCTAATCGATTCCATTTGGTTGGTGGTTAATGAGTGGGACTCTGGTTTACCTTTTTCATTACCATCTTTAACATAAAAGCATTCATCGCTAGTGGGTAATCTTATGGGAGGAAGCGTGAGACTAGTAGGCAACTTGGGTTCTTTGATTTTAAGCAAGAGCTTCTGCTTACATTCAAGGCTGCAGATATCATCATCAGTTTCGTCACATATGTATTCCCCATATCGTCCGCATTCTATGCACAGAGGCTCTCCTGGTAAAGCTTCTCTTTGTTGAGCACTATATTTCTTCACATCATCAGCTGCAGGAGACACTAAGAAAGAAACAAGAATAAACGAGTTTGCCAGAAGTTCTTGGAGAACAAAGAATAAGGTATACAGTGGTTAACAACTTTGAAATTTGATATGCAATTTTAGGTATATTTGGGGTGATGAATGCATTGAAACTTTGATAAGCTTCGCAAATCAGAGAATGTTGGTCTATGTTTTGATAAAATCAAAATCAACTTTGAATATGGAACTTGGGAGTTCAGGAAGTTCAACATAATTATTACTTTATTAGACATTAGGAAATATTGCTTGGATATCTAGTTGTCTGGATTTGTGGACTGAATAGTAGATTCTGTAGACTTCGCGAGTTATAATATGATGTTAATACGTTGATCAACGAACAAGGTACAATCTTACATTGAACACGATGAACTATACTGAAAAAACAGCGAGTTCAATGAGAATGGGTAAAAGCCCATACCTGAAGTTTCTACAGAATCTTGTACTATTAGCATTCTTTGATCATCGTTTCCGCTCTTCATGACAATAATTCCGAAGCAACTAAGAGCCAACTACTAGGAATATCCGTAATTAAAAGGGGCAATTAGGTCATAACTGTCGTAAGCAAATTCAGCAACCAATGATTGAGATCCTCTAGCAAACGGGGATAGAGAACACCGGATATTTCCAAAGTATTGAAATGAGATCGAAATCCAGGAAGAACAACGCTGGCAATAGAACAAATTTAAGATGTGTATGAACCCTAAAAAAATTGAACTTGCAAATCATGATTTTGGGGACGAAACCTATGGACTACTCTTTACACCAATTAACATAGATGCTCCCTTATCTTTTAGAAGTTGTTATGTATAGCCTCTCAACTATGCTTCTCTTCAAATAAGTCCAATCTTGGTTCTGAAGAATTCACCACGACATATGATCTTGGAATGTTATTTAGAGATCTCCCAGTGTTGGAACTCATTCACACAATCACACATACTTCGTGGTTCTGAGTTAGAAAAAAAAAAAAAAAAAAAGGATAACAGATCCTTTTTAGGCCTATTTTCCTCCAAATCCTTATTAGGAGAAAATATCATTAGTTCATTAGTTCATTTTTTTCTTTTCTTTGAAATTCCTTCCAAAAAATAATTTTGGAAACAATATAAGACTATACAGAATGTCTTTCACATTTCTACAAGTATGGTTACATGGCTTCAAAAGTCATGCCCGACTTCTTGTCAAACACAACCCCTTATGTGTGTAATTGTGATGTCTCGTAAAGCAGGCTACGCCTCGTTATAATGGAAAGAGAAAATGAGTTTGGGTTATGTGACCATTGAATGAACGGTTTGCAATTTTTTTTAACATTAAAATTATACCTCTAAGTACTAGACAAAATTGCAAAAATGGTCCTTGTAGTATGCATTTTTTCCAAGGTTTATTCCAAACCTCGACTTTTTTGGTTTCATGGTCATTTTGAGTTAGTTTATCGCGGATTTGGTCACTTGGTAAACTGAAATGACTTTAATACCCTTGTGTATTTATTTTCTATTTTTAATTTCATTTTTTTCAAAATTTTAATAATTATTTATTCATTTAATAATTAAAAAATGAGAGCGCTCTCTCTCTCTCTCTCTCTCTCTCTCTCTCTCTCTCTCTCTCTCTCTCTCTCTCTCTCTCTCTCT